ATATCATGCAACTGAGAGTCTGGTGGATATCGGAGATGATATTTGGACATTTTTATTATATGTAAAGGTCATTATTATATATGTTTATTCAGTTCAAAATTTTAACTTTGAAAAAACATAGTTGCCTCCATATCATAGTGCAGCAAATAGAGTGGCTGCTCCCGTCGTCTTTTATTGTTACACTGAGAGTTGTGGTGTGGAAGGAAAACTCGGCAAAGTTGACTGTACCATAAACAAAGGTGATTTATTAGGCCTCCTTCAGCACAGCATAGTTCACTAACGAGACAAAATGGCAGCTTTCCCATCAGTCTCTTAGCTTTCAGTCTCTCTCAAACTTCAGCCAGCAGTCTCTTTATATGCTGTTGTCTCCGCCTTCTCAATTAACTGCTCAGCCAGTCAAACTCCAGCAAACATGGCTCCTTCTATAAAACAGCTGGGTTTGAGGCGGGCCTCCTCCTTAGTAGGTTTCAAGATGGCCGCCACAAGGACACACCCAAAAAGGTAACAAACATTTCACAAACAAAAGGTTCACATAGACATTCTAGAACTTAAACGTTACAGAAAATCTTATTGCTTCTTAACATTTATCCACCGCCTTTTCTTTTTGTTATGTCTTTTATCTCTTAAAATGAGCCCACAAACTGTCACTATTGCCACTATTGCTTCTACATTGTCATCCGTGTTTGGTTATTCTAAATTCCCGTATGCTATGTTGGGGGTTTTACTGGATTATCCTCTGGAATCGGGATGTTCGTGACTGGAATCGGTTCGTGTTGCTCCTGCCTTGGACACACGAACCGATCGAACCTGTTGTACTTTTATCAGCTCTGTGATCACAGAGGTTTGGAGAATCGGCCGACAATTCTTAAATCTTGCCGCCCAAACCAGACTTAAGACTCACAAGCTCTACTCCTCTCCTCTCGATCACTGCCCAAACGCTCTCTGACTCTGGTCGCTATGGTAACGTTTACATATCCCTTCAAAATAAGATACAGATACGCCACAAAAATTAACATTTTACTGAGTTTGTTTCTCTGCAACGAGACGGTCCCATCTGGGAGTGATGGGAGACAATGACACCCGAAGTGTTGCTTGTATGCACAGCGTGCTCGGTCTCTATGTGGCGAAGCAGTTTGAAGGCTTCATTGCCTCATTAGCAGCCAGTCGCCGCATGTTACGCAGAGCGGGCTTGTAAAGTGGGACTCACCTACTGGTCTGGGATAAATCCATCCTCCTGTCTCTTCTCTAGTCCTTTTCCCCTTTGCAAAGAAACTTTCCAAAGACACCTGATCTGTTTCTTACTCATTTTGCTGCTTGAGAGCTCAGTGTTAGCACGCAAGTAAAGGATTTTCAAAATAAAAGATCCTCCAGACTCAAGTAATACATAAGACAGAAATATTTAATTATTTCTTGCGCGGCCCGATACCAATTGGTCCACATACCGGTACCGGTCCGGGGACCACTGATTTACATTTACATAATATTTACATTTATTTAAATATAAATATATTTACTTTTCAATATTAGTCATGTATATTTATTTTATAAATATAAATAGCTTCAAGTTAACTTAACACCCAAATCCATTATTCAACAACACAACAATCAGTTCGATCATAAAAATCAATCAATCAACGCCACAATCCACCACTTCAATTCAGACGTTGCTGTTAATGGGCCGGCCAGCAAACCTGGAGGCCTGGCTGCCTCTCCGCCCGTCCACAGATTCATCCAGTTCCGCACAGGTCGACTAGGATCTCTGATCAAAAGAGTCCGCAACTCCCATCCTCTTTGTTTGGCTTTCTCTTCTGCTTTTCTCATTGTCCGTCCCTCTTTTAGGTCCGTGTGGGACACAGTAAGCGCATGTCTTTTTTTTCTTTTCTTTTTCTGATTTGACTTCACACCTCCCACTCGATCTTTCCATGAACCACTGGGAAGATCGCAGTTCCGCTGTCGTATTTGGTACATCTGGAGTTTTATTCCTCCCTGGTTTGGCTTTCCATTTGTTCCTCTACCGGTATTAAGATAATGAGCCTCCTAACATCCCTGTGAAGAATGCTGGTCTTGATTTTATCTTTCTTTGGTGGATGAGTTGATCTTTGCTTAACAACATGGACATTTACGTCCCTCACAACACCGTTCTTGTCGGGATTAGCACTTACAACTTTGCCCGGCTTAAACTGTCCTAAGTGCATTTTGGTCACACAACCAGATGATGTCCCCAACAGCAACATTTCTCTGGGAAGTGTGCCATTTGCTCCTCACAAAAAGGTTGGGATCAGCCAGCTGCCTCCAACTGTTCCAGAACTTAGTAACCTCATTTTCTCATCACCACTCTGAGATGCTCGTCCAAGGAAAAGACTGTTGGAAGTGATTACTGAATACAACCCTCTTGACTCTGTATTCTGGCATTGATTGGGCGCTCATTTGCAAGATTGGCAGCGTTATAAAGAGTTGCATAAAATTCACTAAAAGTTGATGCAAATTCTTGACCAAGACTCTGGAAAGCTCTTTTCACAATGCCAACAGCAGCTTCATCAGCTCCGTTCCTGTGAGGTGAGTCTGCGGGAAGGATTTTCCACACCCACTCAGTCCCATTCTTTACTGCAGTTTCTTTCAAACCTGATATATTTTGGGTGCCCAGATATCTATACAGCTCCTCCAAAACTGGTTTTGCTCCAATAAAATTGGTGCCTGCATCAGACGAGATCTTCTGTGGATAACCTTGGATCGCAGTAAATCTCTGATAAGCCATCAGGAAACTTTCAGTGGAAAGCGAGCTTGCCAATTCGGTGTGAATAGCTCTACTGGTCATACAGCAAAAGACGACTCCGCAGATCTTAATCGTCACCCTTTTTTTGACATCATCTCTGACATGATAAGGCCCGAAGAGATCGACTGAAATGAACTTGAAAGGAGGGGCAGGCTCAGCCCTCTCAGGCGGCAAATCACCCATTAACTGCTGACACTTCAGAGTTCGAGCTTTCCTACAGACCATTCATCTGTCAACAATCTTTTGGGCTATCCTCTGTCCTTTTACAACCCAGGCTTTCTGCCTCATCCTCAGTAGGGTCCCAGCAATTCCATCATGTGCAGCATTGTGAGCTTCTTGGCCCAACAGTGTTGACACCCAGGCATCATGGGGTATGATGGGAACTGCAACTCTGTCTTCTCTAAAGATCTGTATACTGCTGCCACAGACTAATAATCCAGACTCTTTGTCTTGATAAACCACCAACCTATCTGTGGTTGTGTTGGGAAAGTTGGCACCCATCTGAGCAGCAAGGAAAATGTCCCTGAGAGCATATCAAGATCTTGAGGGCTGGCTCCTCAGCAATGTTTTGATCCCCAGGAATCCACCACCAATCTTGGATTCTTGTATTGCTCTGGATCTCTCCAATTCTATTTGCAAAGAATGATTGAAACCCATAGCTCTCTCTTTAAATTGCTCCAAGAACTGTTTATCAGTGAGGTGATGCCACCTCTCAATTTTGATTTGGCTGTGCATCTCAAAGTACTTCTTTAATCGTGATGCGAGCACAGCTCCACATATCTCTGCTTTAACAGCCTCAGCTTTTTGACCCAATGGAGTTAGCATAGCCTTGGATTCCACCAGCCTGATGATTGGGTCTTGAACTGATCCCCACCTCAGATGCAACACTGCTCCATAAGCATATTCACTTCCATCTGAAAATGTAATTGCTAAGGAGTCACTGCAGTTATGAAAGGGAGTTAATGCTCTGTCAAATTGGATCTTACTAAGCTGAGTGTACTCTTCAAAGTGCTTGGTTGCATCTTCTCTAAGGCCATTTGAGAGTGCTAAATCCCAGGTGTCTTTTACTTGGTTACTCACATTCTTTGCCTCTTGGAAGGCTTTCCGCACCAGGATTACCCCCTTCTATTTTGCAGGAGTTACCAAGCCAACTGGGTCATACAGTTTGACACCTGACTAAGGAGCTCTCGCCTTGTCAAAGGATTTGGTGTTTGACTTCTGATTTGGTCCAACTGGAGGTCTTGTCAAAGTCGCATCTTTTTTTTCCCTTTTTGAAAAAATTATGCTAACTATGACATGGAGTTTATCCTCCTCCACAGTGTACCCCAGACCGAGTACTTTATTGTCCTCATCACGCATTTGGTTTGGTAGAACCATGGTCTTTCCTTTCACTTCATCCTGTTTGTTGTTACAATCTTTCCTCCCACTTTGCCCAGAAAACACCCAGGGTTTAAGTTTGAAACCACCAGCTTTAAGAATGCACTCCACATTTTCTGTGATTTTCTTTAACCTGTTTGGGTCATTGTGGGACGTCAGAATGTTAACATAGCTGTTATTCTGGATGACTTGCCGCTCCTCTTTAAGACAAATAAATGAGAGTAAATTTGCAGTTTCCCGCATCGCCAACTGTGCAATGCATCCTCCAGGTTTATCTCCAATGTTCACTCTTGTTATTGCATAATCTCCAACTTTTTCATCCTCTGAATCACGCCAAATAAATCTGTGCAGGATAACTTCTCTTTCTTCCAGCCAAACAGAATTATACATTTTCTTTATATCTCCTAATGCAGCATAAGCTCCTTCTCGGAACCTTAATGGGACAGCACGGATCTGGTTTAGGACATCTGGGCCTTACATCAGCAGGTCATTCATACTTGTCCCTTTAAATTTCTGACTGCTATTCCACACAAGTCTTACAGGAGTTGTCACAGAGTGTGGATTCAGCGCAATTAGGTGGCTTACATACCACACTGGGCCTTTCCATTTGCTGATTGCTTCCTGAGACAATTTCATTGCAGCTCCACGCTGAAGCATGTCATGCACTTGTTCAGTGTAAGCAGCTTTCCAGTCAGGTTCTTTAGTCAGTTGCTTCTCTGTTCTAAAAAATCCCTGTTGTCTGGCAGTGGCAGGGATGCTAGATCTTCCAGCCATGGGTACCTAGCATGCCAATGAAGTTCGTCAGTGTGGCTGTCTCCTTCATTGTAGGTGAGGCCTTCCTTCACTATTTCAAGCTCCCTTTCTTCAGCAAGTGTCATCGCTTTTCCTCCCAGCTGACAGTTCCACAAAGACAACCTCCACACTTGGGTTCACAAGCCGCGCCAATACTGTCCCACCTCCACCACTCCAAGAAATCTAGGCTTGTAGTTGCACTCTTTGATGCCTTAAGTTAAATGGAGACCTGATGGTGGATGCTGTGGGATTTCATGAATGAATTATTCATATCTCACAGCAGCTGTCCTCATTGACCTTGCAAAATGTCTTTTGGTTGTACGAACTGTCATGGCAAGTTCCTCAAACAGTTCTGGATAAGTTCCTCCAACCACTTTTCCTAAAGTGCCATCCCAGAGTACAAGGTTCCCCACAACTCTAATTCTTTGTGGTGTCAACTGACCTTCCCTGTGGCTTACGAGGGTCTTACAATTTCATCCAGTGGTACATCTGGAAAAAATCTTTGCAGCTGTTTTGCTTTAACATGCTTATGAATATCTGCAATGCTGTCAAGTCCATAACAAACAAGCTGGTAAGGTTTAAAAGTGCCTCTGGAGGTTTTCACACAAATCTTCAGGAGGTAACGTTTTGTCTCCACGCAAACTTTCATCCCTCCAACTCCATGGACAATGAGCGTGATCTCCTTACTTTTGAGGTTTAATCTGCTTGCAGCCTTATGAGTTATGTAATTTGTATCTGATGCCAAATCAAATTAATCTTTTGTCCAGCATTTGCAGTTACTTCAAGAAGCATCATTAACACTGGCAGTTCCCGCACTCCACTATCCATCAGAAGATTTGACTTATTCTGAGTTGTATTAAAGACTTTAGATGCAGTATTTGAAAATACATTTCTACAATGTTTGGCCAACTCGGGTGGCAATTTCTTAAGAAATTCTTCTTGATCCTGTGCGTACCTTCTGCTACTTTGTTGTCTTCTGGACTGATTCGGTTCCTCCTCTGGACTGTGTTGCTTTTCTTAGCTTCAGCACTTGGGCATAGATAATAGTGATGTGGATCATCCCCATTCCTGCAGCTTTGATTCTTGCACAAAAACCCAGGTTTGCAGTATGATTTATCATCATGTATTTCCAAACACTTGGTGCATGCTCCTACCTTCTTGACAGCAGCTCTTTTCTCAGTTAATAATGTTCTGAACTGTTTGCAAAAGTAGATTCTTTTTCTGTGCTTTCCATCGCCATAGACAACACAGCTTGCAAAGTCATCACCTGCTTTGACTGACTTGGTTCTGGCGTGTCTTTGCTCCACTCGGGTCTCTCGTCTACTTGACTCCTTTCTCAGTTGCTCTAGTTGCTCATAAATATTTTCTTGATCTTTCAGAAATGCAAGGAGGTGATCAAATCGATTCTCTGGTACCACAGCATTCCTTTTATCAGAAGAATAAATGAGCCACTCCTTCTTCAAAGCTTCAAGAATCTTAGTTTCAATTGACTTTGTCACCAGAGGGTTTTAATGGCGTCGGTGTTTCCAAGGTCACTTAAATCCTTAAGAGCTTTCTCAACAGCTTGAATCAACTCCACAATTCTTCTTGGCTGGTAACCTCTAACTGCAGGAATTCTCTGTAGCTCCTCCACAATTTCATTTGCAATGGCTGTCTGATTTCCATAGCGGTTCTCAAGGACTTGAAAAATATCTTCTGGTGTGCTATAGGAGGTTAAGCAAAGGTCTCGTAATTTTCTCGTATAGACTGTCCAGGAGCTGCACTTTTTTCAACTCTTTTGAACCGGTTGGTTCTCCTTGCTTTTGAAGTGCTTCCCAGTCCCTTTTCCATCTGTAAAAATCACGTTTGTTTCCAAGAAACTTTGGGAGAGATGTTGGTTTCAGCTTGATTGTTGGTAAAGAATAATTTTGGGAAGTTACAATTTGCTCCTTTTTTTTCTTCATCTTTTTTTAGCTTTGCATGAATGAACTCTGTTGTCCTGGAGACCAGATTGGGGACACTAAGTTCCAATCCTCTCAGCCGATCTTGGATTTCATCCAGATGGCCATGAGGGATCCATCTTTTCCAGTGACAATGAGCTTCTTTTGCAGCTGTTACGAAAATAAATTTAAAATAAGCTAGTTTTAAAACTTAACATGTCTTGATTCAAATAGTCTAATTGTGGTTTTAAAATCAGTAACGTATTCTGGCTTTTTGACCTTTATTTTACCTGTAGTTACAGCAGATGATTTGCTAGGATCGTTTGAATTGCCTTTTGTCTGTGTGGGAAAACAATAAAGTAGAAGTTGTAGCTTTTCACAGTCATCTGTGAAAGGCCGTAAACACAGCAGGAGTTCCTGGCTTGAGAGAGGGTCAGAGATAGCTCCTGGATTGGATGAGCAAAGATACACCTTATTTGAATAAATTAAAGATAAGAATACGCCTTCACTATAAAACTTTCTACACAGAAGTAACAAATTAGATTTGCTTTTGCAATTCTCCAAAGACGTCTTTGCTTTTCTTTCTTTCTTTCCTTCTTCTTTCCATTTATGTCAGGTAAGCGAATGTATGTCTCTGTTGTTCTGCAGTTTGTGTTGTAATTTTATGCGTTGTCTTCTATTAGATTAAACTGCAATTCTGTGACGTCAACACGGATTACTGTTTTCTTCTGAGTGACTACAGGTGGCCGTCGCGAGAGGACCCGGGATCACAAAGGAAGAGAGAGAGCCAAACTTTTTCCAAAATTAACTAATTCATAAAAATATTCCTTAACACAGCCTTTAAAAGTTCCTTCAGGTGGCTCAGAGTGAAGTCATATGCCTCTTTTTCCACTCCCGGTTTAATAGTGGCAACATGCCCACATTCTGATTCTGCTACATGAAGTGCAATTAACAGTTCAGTCTTTCCAAAAGTTCTCCACAGGGTCTCCTGGATTAAGCCTTTGCTTCACATTCTTTTGCAGTTTTTTCCAGGTCAGATTTCTGCTGTTCAGTCAGTACGGCTTCTTCATCTTCACCCAATTTGGATTCCACTTCTGCGATGA